CGGCCCTCCTTTGGTCAAGTGCTGGGCTATATCCAGGAAGGCGAGCCCCTGAACCTGGACTTGCCCAACCGCAAAGCGAGCATCTACACATCCAGTCACTTCTATCTCGATGATTACCCCAATGCCCCGGAGCCCATCAGCGATGCGCCGATGCCGCACACCCAACTAAACCCCGCGGCTGCCTTCGAGACGGCCGACGAGGGCTACGACGGTTCCCCCGCCCGCCCAGAGAGTCCACCAGGCCCAGCTTCCTGCCGGACAGCGACGACGGGGGCATGGACCCAGGCCAGGCCCTGCGCAACGACGGCCTGAACCCACCGAGGCCCCCGACGCTCGGAGGCCGGCTGCGGGAGTCGGGCATTCAGGCGGCAGAGACGATCATCGCGGGAGGCGCGGCGGGTGCGGCGGCCAGTAGGTCGAAGGTCACATTCCCCACCCAGGCGGGGGCGTTGACCAGATTGGTGGCCCCGCCCAGGGTGGCGATCTCCGCCAGGATGCTGTCAATGGCCGCCTGCAGCGCTGTGATCTCGCTGGGCAGGGCGAAAGGGCCCGCGCTCTGCAGGGCCAAGATGTCGGCGTCGTGGCCGTCCAGCCGGCTGTCTCTGAGCGCCAATGCGGCGTCCAGAGCCGCTTGCTGGACGTAGGCCAAAAGAGCGGTGGCGACTCGCTGGTCCACGTCGGCGGCTGTTTGCCTAGCCGCCAGATCAATCGCCAGCTGGTCCACGACCGTTTTCAGAGCATAGGTTGCTCCTACGCTGGCCAGCGTTGCGTTGTTGGCCGAAGCGATGCTGCTGTTCATCGCCGCCGCGGTCGGGTGGTTGGCGAGCTTGAGGTCTACTGAAGCGGGCGTGCTCTTGCCGTTGACTTCGACTTGGAGAGCATCCAAAGCGGACTGGTTGGCTTTGGTAGCCAGGCCCTGGGTCAGGCTGGTGTTCACGGCCGTGAGGCCGGAAGCGTTGGCTGCGATGGAGCCCTCGGCTGCCGCGAGGTCCGCGGCCAGGGCGTAAGGAGTTAGATCGGGAGCTGCGGGCAGGGCGGCCACCTGGCCCTGCAGCGCCGCGATGGCGGCGGCGTTGACTCCGATGGCCGCGGTGTTTGCCGTGTGCTCCGTCTGTGGGGTATAAGCGGTGAGGACTGTGGCCAGTTGGCCAGCACTAATTCCTTGCAGCTCTATCACGGCGGGGGTGTTGCGCCGTCATCCAGGATCCGCCCGGTGAGGGTGGAGGGAAACAAACTCATTTACATCTAGTCCAAGACGCTGACTCCGCTGCCGGAGACCGTCACGATCTGGTAACTGAGCAGGTGGATGTAGATGCGCTGTACCCGGTCCGCCTGCATGTTCTTGAAAGTGAACCTTGCGAGGTCGCCGGAGCGCGTGCTGATGCCACTCAAGGGGTGCTTGGGCACACGCTCCACGGGGAAAGCGCAAATGAACTCCGTGTTGTTCCACAGATTATCGGAGATTCGCATGTTTTTGATGCTCGAATCGTAGGTTCCTGCCAAAATCTCGAGGAAGTGGAAGTGCTCGGCGTCGCTGGCCATGGGATAGCGGGGATATTGGAGCGCGCCCAGCTGCATTTGGGACTCGAGGGAGTTCGCCGAGAACTGGCTGCCATCGCCCGGGTGTTCAAAATTGGAGCACTCGCCGAGCTGCAAATCGTCAATGTCCCGGAAGGTGACGAAGGCGCCGAGCAATTTTGTGAAGGCTCGAGCCACCGTGACGTTGAAAGAAGTGCTGCCGGCGGGGATGCTGGAGACCTGCGTGTGCATCGTGGGGTACGCGAAGACGAGGCTGCGGCCTGACAGGAGGATCTTTTGGTAGCTTTCGTACAAGGCCGAGTCCAGGGTGACCTGGCTGGCCAAAACTCGGACGTTTTCGATGGTGTAATCCGTCGAACCCTCGCCGGGACGCAGGGCGTCGGCAGCCTCACTAAATTCCAGTTCGAGCACTAAATTTAACTGGGGCGGTAGGAACTTGCCCGCCTGGAACATCCCGATGAGCGTGGGTGCCATCAGGACGTCCTTGAAGCTCTCCGCGGGGACGGGCGCCGGCGCGCCGCCGACCTCCCAGAAGCCCGTGATGCCCTTGTTGCTGTACCACTCTTGTGGCTTGAGTAGTGAGTACAGGTAGCAGCAGCGCCCGTATTCGCTGATGTCGTCGCAGCGCTGGCCATTTGCGAAGAGCTGGACGCGCTTGATGAAGCACGAGGGCTCCTGCGTGCCGGGGTTCAGGCCCAGGGTGGCGGAGTTGTTACGCACCCGGAAAGCGATCTTGACGCTCTCCGGGTCGATGAAGTCCATTGAGCTTGTCAGAGGAATTCTTGCCACACGGGATGTCGTGGGCGTGAAGGTACTGAGCGAACTTGGGAAATATTGGACGTCTTTTCGACTCTGAATGTAATTGACGTTGCTGCTCCCAAGCTTGTAATCGAGGCTCTTGACGAGCTCGTCTTGCACCGCTTCGGTGACGTTCTGCATGACCCTTTACTACTACGCAAGTTCTGGTTCGTTCCTCAACTGGTCGAACGACGGCTGGGTCCCCAAAGGCCCGCGGTCGGAGCGGGATTGCCGGCTGATGCGGGACCGGTCGCTGTCGGAAGAGACCGGGATGGGAGCGTTGTTGAGGCCAAAAGGTGTGGGTACCTGTGCCCTCGGGCGCCGAGCTGGGCGGGCCACGATGCGTTGCTGTGCCTGCGGCTGGGGCTCTTCCTCCGACGTGTCAATGCGGAAGACCTGCGGGCGCTGCTGCCGGCGCATCTCCTGAACCTGGAAGTGATCGACCGCCCCCGATTCTTGCATCGCGTTCAGCGTCTGCACATCCGTTGTGCGGCTGGCCCTTGAGGCATCGGAGTCCGTGCCGCCTCCCGTGGTCGCGCCCCAGCCCATCATGTGCGACGCCGCGTTCAAACCTCCTTCGATGGCCCAGGCCGTGCCCACCAGCGCCGCGCCGGCCGAAGCAACGGCCAAGCCTCCCGCCGCCGCGCCGACGGTCCCTGCCGTCGCCAGGGCTCCCTCGCCGAGCAATGCCAAAGCTCCTCCACCAGCTTCCGCCGCAGTTGCTGCTTCGGCCCCTGCCGCCGCAGCCTCCGCCGCCGTCGCAAAGCCTTCGGAAGCTTCTGCTTCTGCCACCTGCTGCGAGGCGAAAGCCTCGATGTCTTGCGCGGCCGCACGCTCCACCTCCGCGGCTCTCTGGCCGGCCCGCTCCAGCAAGGGCTCCACCTCGCTGGGCCTTCCGATGATTTGCGGCGGGGGCACTTCGTCGGGCGGCGGGCCCAATCCGGGCGGGCGCCTGGGGATCCTCAGGGTTCTGTCGAGCCAGTCGCCTCCGCGGTTAGGATGTTGAAGGCGCCGTTCTCGCCCACGCTGCGCGCCGCGGCCGGGACAAATCAAATTAGAAACTTGCACGCCACGGGTCCCCTGAGCATCTCCCTCGCGAACGACAATTGGACCCTGTCCTTCGCCTGCGACAGTTACAGTCGCGGGGAGACGGACGCCCTGCTGGCGCCGCTGGCCAGCGAGGCTTGGGTCAGCAACGAGATTCTGGCCGCCCTGGCCGCCTACAGCACGACGGCCCAGGTGGGCACGGTGATCGCCGATGCACTGGGACCCTACAGCAGCACCTCGGAGATGAACACCATGCCATCGATGCCCTGAACGTCGGGCAGTACCAAGACGCTGCGGGGGTGCAGTTCCTGATCGACCAGGCCCTGCTGGCTTATTGGACCCAAGCGGAGGTCTCGAGCTTCGTTGCGGGAGAGCTGGCCAACTACGCCACGACTGCATCCGTCAGCTCCAGCATCAGCTCGGCCCTGTCGAGTTATGATGATTCCAGTCAAGTCGACAGCAAGATAATAACTGCTCTGCTGGATTTCTACACGAGGGCCGAAGTAGATCAGGCCATCGCCGATGCCACGTCGGGCTCGGTGGACCTATCGGCTTACTACACCTCCGCCGAGACGGAGAGCTACGTGGCCAACGAGCTCCTTGCGTATTATCCCCGCACGGAGCTGGACAGCCAGCTCACAGCCACTTTCACGCAGTATTGGACGTCGGGACGCACCCAAACGGAAATCGACGACGCCATCGCCGGCGCGGGCTTTCAGACTCAAGCGGATGCGGACTTACGCTACTTCGTGCGGGCTCCCGGCGCGGAGTCGGGCCAGATTTTCAACTTGGTTCAAGAACAGTTCACGCCCAGGATCATCCGCAACTTGCTGTTGGAGGCGCCCCTGTCGGGCGATGCCATTCTCGGCAACCAAAGCACGTTGCGGCTCCGCTGCGACTCTTGGACCAAGGCGGAGGCGGACAGCCGGTTCCTGCGGACGAACGACCTGGGCCCACTCGATGCCCGCTACTTCGTCAACAGCCCCGGTGCAGAGGGCGGCGGGATCTTCAATTTGGTCCAGACCCAGTTCACGCCCCGGATCATCCGGAACCTCCTGTGCCAAACGCCCCTCTCCGCCCAGCCCATCCTGGGCAACGGCAGCACCCTCCAGATCTCCTGCGACTGCTGGAGCAAGGGCCAAAGTGACACCCGCTACCCCCTCATCGCAAATTTTAACTCCCTGGGCCAGCGAGTCACGGACCTCGAGAACAGCCCGGGCGTGGACCCCACGGCGGACCTCACCGTCAATAGCCTCACGGCCACGAGCTTCGTGCAGACACCACTGCTGCAAAGCGCTGCAGCCGATCTCGAAATCCGGAATGCCACCACCACCATCCGTGCCGAAGACGGCACGCTGCTGGCCTCCTTCACCGCCGGAAGCATCGGCCTGGAGCAAGACATCACTGTGCGCTCGGACCGCACTTTGAATGCAACCACGGCGGACTTCGCCCAGTTCTTCGTCGGCAGCACCGCTGCCACGGGGACCTTCAGCAGCAGCAGCTCCGTGGCGGTTACGCAGGAGATCACGAGCGACCTCAGGCTCGAGGCGCCTCTGGTGCGCTCCGATCCGGCGGCCCCCTGGCTCACCGTCCAGGGCGGCACCAACGGGATTCTGATGGACGACACGGTGCGGATCAACGGGGTCTTGGGCCCCGAAGCCAGCCTGCCCTTCCTGAGCCTCTCGGGCGGGACCAGCGGCGTGCAGGTGCTCTCCCCGCTGCTGGAGCAAATCGCCGTGGGACCCACGGACGGCACGGTGGGAGTGGTGGTGCGCAACGCCGCCGCGACGGGGGAGGCGGCGCTGCTTTTGGACGCCAACAACCAAGCCGGCGTGGCGGAGCTCAAGGTGCGGGCGGGCGGCAATTGCGAGCTCAACGCCCAGTTCCAGTTCATCAGTTTCAACACGACCAACGGCCTGGCCAATCTGGCCATCGAGCCCAACATCGGGGGCAGCAACGATGGGGAGGTGATCTTCGGGTATGGGTTTGTCAATCTGAGCGACCGGGCGCTCAAGGAGAACGTCCGGGCCATTCCGGACGAGGAGCTGCAAGAGACTTTTGACGCCGTGGAGCCGCAGCTCTTCGACCGCATCGACGGCGGCAAGGAGCAGATCGGCTTCGTGGCCCAGGACGTGCAGGCCAGCGGCAAGCTGGGGGCGACGATGTGCAAGACGAAGAACCTGGACGGCCGGGAGCTGATGGCCCTTGACAACCAGAAGCTCTCGGTGGTGCTCTGGGGCGTGGTCAAGAAGCTCCAGAAGCGGGTGGAGGCCCTGGAGAAGAAGAAGAAGCGCAAGGACTCGGACTAAAGGAAAATGGCGGAGGAGGAAGCCGTCGGGCTTTTCCAGCAGCTGGCCCGCGACTTCAATGTCCGGGACCCCAGGAAGCTCTATCAGATCGCCCGGCGGGAGTTTCCGGGGCGGCGAGATCTAACCTCGGCGCGGGCCCAGGCGGCATTGCGCAGCGACGTGGCGAGGCAGGTCCTCGCACCGAAGCCGCGGAGTCTGGGGAAGAGTGCGGCGGAGGGGCCGAACGACCGCCTGCAGGCGGACCTCATCGATTTCGCCCAAAACACGCGGGGGCCAAACAAGTTCGGGCTTGTGGTCACGGACGTGTTCACCAGGGAGGTGGCCACGAAGGCCCTGCCCGACAAGCGGGCGGAGACGGTGACCCGGGCGGCGGCAGAGATCATCCCTAATCTGGTCCAGGATGAAGGCAACTACGTCGTGACGACGGATCAAGGGAACGAGTTCAGAGGGCTGGAAGCGGCCCTGCCCGGAGGCGTGGTGCACCGCCAGAAGGACCCCAGCGATCGGAATGCGACGGCGGTCATCGATCGAGCGATCCAAACGTTGAAGAAGGATTTGGCAGGCGAGGTGGCCCGGCACGGCGGTGGATGGGGGGATCACGTCGACGAGGCAACAGAGGCCTACAATGCCCTGCCGCACCAGGCGGTGACGGTGGCTCCGGAGGATGTCGAGACGATGCCGGCAGCTACCTTTCGCGTTTATCAAGATAACGCAGCCAAGTTCCAGCACAATAAGGAGCTTACGGAAGGCCGCAAACGCCGATTGGAAGAAGCGGGCGCCTTCAGGGCTCCGACAAATGCAAGAAGAAGCTTCAAACCGCAGTACGGACCTGCTCGCGATGTTGCCAGCATATACCCGGGTTCATGCCCATCAATGTGCCGGGGTTCATGGTCATGTAAGGATGAGCTGGAAACATCATTGGGGGCATGGTCGGCTGCATCTGGCCTGTCATGACCATGTGCTGTCCATTGCCATTCCTGGAATCCGCAAGACGGGCCCGCTTGTGGCGTCGGGGAATAAGCCCTGCCATGGCTTCTGCAACTACAGGCAATTGGTGTTCCTGTAGCAATGGTACTTCAAACCGAACCCTTGAGCAATTCAGGCAAACACAATTGACAATTCAAAGTTGAAGCAACACTGCAGGACATACAGCTGACTACAGTACAGAAAGCTCCGAAAAGCACAGAGCTTCATTCCATGGTTGTTCGAGCCACAGATGGAACCGAAACTCTGTTGAAACATGCACTTCCAGTTCCGAGAGGCAGTGCCGAACCCAAAGCCAAATTAACTCGACCTCCCGTGCTCTTGCCATTCGCCAGCTTCGAGACCTGGACCCGTCGCCCCGCCCTAATCTTCATGAACGAAAATGAGCCCGGAGCTTTCATCCGCGTGTGAAGCTATCATGCAAACGCCTTCCAAAGAGCATGTCGTTCTCTTACTCGATGCTTGGTCGCCACAATGGACATGGCGGGGTCGGCAACGAGCCATAGGAACTGGAGCATTCGATCGGTACTGCACCTTAGGCTTGTTCGCTCATGGAGGCAATGCTCCTGGCGTATCGAAAGCTTCACTGCATCGCGACGTGCAAAACATGGTTGGGAAATTGAATCATGCTCTCACTCTCGGAAACTTCACGGGAGGCAAAGTATGGATTGAAGGCACTTTCAATCGAAAAACTAAGCAAAAACAACAAAGCTTTGAACTCAAGCCCATGTCTTCAACGCAAGACACTATCATAAAATTGAGCCACATGAAGGTCATATGTGGGCGCTGGCAGCACACTGTGAAAAACGCAGAGCAAGTCTCTTTTCACTCCACGCTTGAGCCAAACACCGAAGTGTTCAGCAAGGTCTCTTGCGGAGTCTCGCGCAGCAAATTCCGTCTCAACTTTGCTAAACAAAGGAGGAATGACATGCAACTGTCCTAACACTTCTCAGGACTTCTGTACTCACTCAAACAGCAGTGCACAGCCACTCTGTCCCTTGGCCTGTTCCTACCGGCACGAGCGAAGCGAGGGTCGGCGGAAAACAGCAACAGTGCAGTCAGAGCAACACGCACTTCTTCAAGGATGCCCAAAAGCATCTCTAGTGCTGTAAACGCTCATCATGGTCTTCAACGCAACTGCAAACCTGCCAAAACATGTGTTAGCCATGCAAATGCCTGTTCAAGCTTCCAAAACAAAACAGTTCAAGGCAAAAAGGATGAAACCCTTTCTCATGCGCAAAACAAGCATGTCGGTACTCAAGGGCACACCTAAAAGGAGCAAACTTTTCATTCCAGTGGCGCTTGTCCACGGCCAGAGGCCTGTCCGAAAAGCTGCACCGAATTAAGTGGTATGCACAACCTAGTCCTGCACAGACCCTGGGCGAAGTCAAAAAGACCTCAGCCCCAAGAAAGCACTCTGTCAGAGCCCTACTGTACTGGCAAGGAGAGTGACAAGACTCCTCAAGCCCTTTTTGGGAAAGACAAACCCTGACAGGTGCTCAAGCCGAACAGTGAGAGGTGAAAGCTGTACAACCTAACTGACACTACCCTCAGTCTGGCACTCAGCTTGCAGTGACCTCAGCCCTGAGGCGAGGTCACTCAGTGAAGCTAGGCGAGGCAACATGCCGTAAAGTGCCTAGCCTCAAGCCCTCACAGCCCAGGGGTTCCTCAACCTCACCTTGCACAGAGCAGCGCCCCTCAATTCGGTACCTTTAGCGCGGGGCCCACGCACTCCCCTCAACAAGGCGCAGGGAGCGACGCTTTCCCTTCAACTCAACTTCGTGCTGGCGCAGGGAACAACGCCCTGCTATGCTCTCTGCGAGTGGAGACTTTGAAGCCCGAAGACTGCTCCCAGTAAACCTGCTGACTGCTCACTAGGGAAAGGGCAAAACTTTGAGGCCCGCACAGCAGGGGACCTTCCCTACCTGAGGGAAAGGAACCAGGCTGTTCCCTGGGAAGCCTCTGACTGCTTCAAGGGAAGGGGCCAAACTGGCAATCTGGACTGCAGATCACAGACTACACAAATGCAAAAACCAAAGCCTATCACCCTTACATCCTCAGCCCAAAGGCGAGGAGTGCAAGAGCGACTGCGGAAAGGCACCTCGCTGCCTCAACTTGCCCAGTGAGGAGGTACGAGACACGATCCCTGTCAGCTGCCAGGTGAAACCCATGGCGTGCCTATAAGAACACCCAGAAAACTAATTACTGGGCGAAGGCGGGCAAACCAAGGCAAGGGGAGGGAGCCTACTCAGCCTGTGCTGCCATCCACTGTCAGCAATCAGACAGCAGGGCGGAGAAACTATCCCTAAAACCAGCCCTAAACCCAAGGCCAGCAGAAGAGCAGTCACAGAGTCAGGGAAGACTGCTCACTGCTGCTAGCGCGCGAGCCTGCTGGGAGGCGGAGCAAACTTTTCACACCCCCTCATGCCCGAGAGTCCTCTTCACTTCTCCTCAAAAGTCTTCTTCGCGTTCTTCAAGAGAGCGAATCCTAAACCCGCTGGATACACACCTGACTCAGGAAGAGGAAGGTAGTAGTGGCCGTGTCCCTCAGAGCACTGAGACGAAAGTCCCCACACAAACTCTGTGCGGTTAGACACAAACCACCATCTTTTCCAAGGTCGTTGGTCACCCTTTTCAAAGCAACAACGATCCACAAGGCAACCCTGATCCAAACGAAGCTTCTTAGAAACCCTCTTAAACACAGTCTCATCCCACAGTCCTGACCTCTCAGGCCACTCGTGAGAAAGCAGAAGGTTCGGGGAGCCCACGTAAGGCTCCAACAGCTTCTCGATCCTTTTCCAGGACCTCTTGTGAACGGCCAGAGCCGCTCTCCACTTCTCCAGGGCTTTTCCTCCCTTCTTAAACCTCAGGTGCCTTAAACCACACCCAGCAGAGCACGGAGTAGACAGGTGAGCATACACCTTGACCCCACCTTCATCTACGACTCCGAAAACTTCTCTCAGAAGACACAAGCCATTATAGCTCAGAAGATCAACCTCCTTAGTCACCCCAAAGTAGGCGATCTCGGGGACCTTCGAGCAGGCTTTGGACAACGCGCTTCCTTCTTCACAACACAGTTCAACCACTACGTACTTAGCTTCACCGCGAGCTAGCTTCAACGCAGCGGCTTTCCAGGAAGGCGGAACAGACGGAGTAAAACGTTCGTTTTCATTGGGCTCTTCAAAAGACACGTGCACCTCAGTAGGCTCACTCTCCCAGGCCTTCGGTTCATCTACAAGGCCAGAGGCATCGTACAAGCTAGCCAAACTTTCGTTAGTAGGGCTCTTCGTGAGGGCGTCCGCAGGGTTTATCACTCCGGGTATGTGTTCTATGGTAAAACGACCCCTGGCCACCAGCTCCTGAAGGAATGCGGCACGAAGTTCGATGTGCCTCACTTTCCTCAGGAGGGTCTGCATCTTAGATATACAAACCGCCGATTCGGAATCAGAATATCCCTTAAGAACATAATAACCGGTTTCCCTGTCTTTCGGCATACCCTCGCGGATGGTCTCCACAAGCAAAGCAATGTACAACCCTTCACGAGCAACCTCTGTGAGTGCAGCGAGTTCAGCTTCCGCACTGGAGAGTGCGGTAGTCGTTTGTTTCCTGCTGAAGCTTTTCAGGGAACAGTTCTCCCACGTGATGATTCCGCCGCTTACCGAATTCAGACTCCAGCTCGCGTCCGTAAAACAAGATACAGAGGCAGGGTCCGCATCATCTTCCAAGATCTCCCTTTTGCTCGGAAACCTCTGGACCTTGTGCGGAAGACCCTTGACCCAACGAAGGACATCCCTCATACAGGTCTCGGCAGCCTCGTCAGGAGCTGCTTGGTGGCGGCCCAGAAACCCACACACAAACTGCAGGTCTGGTCGTGATAAAGCCGCCCAGGCCAAACGGCCCAGAGTCCTTCTGTACCTTTCGTGAGCAGCTGGACTGATCGGCTCAGTCTGGCCTTTCTTCAGCAACTCAGCATAGCGGCGTTCAAGGAAAGGGAGCTTTGGTGCAGGTTTGGTGATTCCGTACTCCTCGCAACAGGAACTCAGGTACTGTTCGTCTAGCCCGAAATACACCGTACGTTCCCCTTTCTTACGGCGAAAGATCCGCCGACCGAGAAACGAGACTTCCCCGGGGCAATCTTGAATCAACTCGCCCGTAAGTTTCAGTTTGTATCTTTTACGCAACTCCTCGTAGAACCGACGCCCCTCAGCTTCATCTTCACTATAGATCAGCAAGTCATCCACATAAAACAACACAATCGTCAAACCCTTCCTCGTAAGACGACGGAATATAGTGGGATCCAAACTTGCTTCGAAGTTCTGAGAGCGCAAGTATTCAGCCAACTCGCAATACCAAGATAATGGAGCAGAGCGCAATCCGTTCATCGCTTTCCGCAATTTGACGAAAACTCGTTCCCCAGTCCCCTGGGTGCTCACATTATTCGGCAACTCTACGAATTCTGCCCTCGCTACGGGAGCATGCATGAACGCTACCGAGACATCGCAGGACAACACACTGCCACGTCGGCAGAGCATTGATAGAAGCAATCTCAGACCCTCCAATGAAGTAGTAGGAGAGTAGATTCCCTCACTCAAGGTGGTGCCTCCCATAGAGGCATAATCCCGCACGACTAGCCTAGATCTATACAGTCCCTTCTTCTTGACCGTGTTGACCCACCTGCTAGTCAAAACTCGCCTGCCGTTTTCCTTAGCAAGACGGCGAGCTTCGCGCTCAGGGATCACTTCCCCAACCTTAAAGGACTCCAACTCTTCCAACTCAAGCTTCATTGATGCGTAAAGGAGGTCGGGTTCTAGCTTCTCTCCCGAAGTCTCAGAAACAGCGTCCTGGGGAACAGCACACCTTATCTTCGTACCCCCAAACTTCAAATCAAACGACTTTGCGACTGCAGTGGAGGCGGCTCGAAGGTCAGGCCCTCGAAACAGGGACTCAAGATAGTGATTCGTGAGCCAGTCTATTTCCATATCCCCCTCATCGTTCACAACCTCCTGGTTCTCAGGCGCTTCCGAAGGAGAATAGTCACCAAGCTCATCTTCGATCATCTCTTCATCACCATCTTCATCCATTCCCACACCCGCCCCCTCATCAGGAGCATCATCACCAGGAGCCTCCAACGGATCAAACAGTATGGGCCTCTCGGGGTCCTCAGTGTCCTGCAGAAGAGGCTTAGCTAAAGATAGCTCTTCCAGGGTCTTGGCATCGTAGATGTCACCTCCCTGAATCATTCTGGCGACGGGGAATATATCTATTTCACTGCTTCCGACAGGGACGGCAAAGATGCCGCCACCTTTGGCGTGCACCGGTCCCAGATAAACCGCTTTCACGGTCCGGGCGCCCCTGAACTTATCATGGTGCGCCTTGGACTTACTGACCTGAGCTTGAACCAGACACCCGAACGGTCTCGTCCGAGTTCGGTTCACAATCTCCTCATGCAGTCGATCTATGCTAGTGCTCGAATCCCCGACGCTGGTACACCAGAGGTTATAGCACCTAGCAACGTAGAAACGTAGAAAACACAGGCCTGCCAAAGCAAACCTCCCAAAGGTAACCGATACTTCCCAAGCTCAACGGCTTCCGTTTCCTGCTTCACCTTAGCAACCTCTTTCTCCAGGTCCAACCAAACAGACCAGAAACCCTGCTTCATAGTTTCAACCTGCCGCTCAATCGATCCCTTCGACTGGGGCCTGTAGCCCGGAACCACGTCGATCAAAGTTGCGCTGGCAGGGCTGCTATCGCACTTGGTGAGTTTCTCGGCAAGGGCTCCAAGAGCCGCTTCTTGGTCCATCCGAAATGTAACCGCTTTACCGACTAATCCCATTTCGCGAATCACACGGTTGATGTTGTGGAGCAGGTCAGGGTCATCGAGGTGCATCGCAGGAAGAGAGACAGTATACTTAGAACCGAGGTGCATCATCAAGAGTACCCTCAGTTTTCCGAAATAGAAGAAATCAAGACCTATGGTCTGGTTCTCTCTCTGCAGCTTCCTCCTCAAGCGACGCGCTGGAACGCGCCCTTTCGAAGAACAACACGCTTCACAATTGGAATCAAACGGAAAATGCCCTCGGCTCCGATGATTATACAACGACACAGAAGAAAGAGGAACCCTCAGGTCCTCCTCGTCCTCAGGTCCAACCGGGTCGTCAGGTGGTGTTGGACCCTTTTCTTTTCGAGGTTTCTTGGAAGAGCCAGGGGCAGACCCTAACGGTTCAGGGTCCTCATCGAAGATTCCTTCAGGATCTAAAGGATTACGACTAGAAGCTTCAGGTTTTGAGGAAGTTTCGGGAGCAGGTCTCGAGGAAGGTTCGGGGTCTAAGTCAAACGGATCAGAACGTGTACCGGTCCCTGGCGACGGTAAACCTCTAAAGCGCACGGCTCGGAGCACGTGCTCAACTTGTTCCGTCTCCTTTGCCGGGGCCGGTTCATCATCTCCGGCACAAAGCATGCCAAACATGCCGCAACATGCGCACTTCAAGTTTTCACAGACATGCTCACAAACGCGCTCCCCAAAACCTTTCACCTCACGACTCAAAAGAAGTTTCCTACTCACCTCGACGCGGGCCCAACGGTCCCGCAGCTTAATCCTAAAGTAGCTTCCGCGTTTTCTAGAAAACACCCTGTAGCACTTCCGTGGCCTCTTTCGAGAAACCACTTTCCTGAAACACCGAAGTAACCCTGAAGAAACCCACAAAGCTATACCCCAGAAGAGGCTGTAGACCGTCAGGAGGAGCACGATGATACCAATATCCAGTCCTGGCGTGAAACCATTCCTGAAAGCGGCCGTGGTTTTAAAGGTGCGGGTTTCGAAGGTAGGAGGGTTCGAGGTACGTTGGGTTTGTCTTCGAGCAAACTCAACATGCCACAGACCATGCCAACGCTCATGCCACACAACATGCTGCTGCAAAACGTGCTGCTGCAAAGTGTGTTGCTGCAAAACGTGCTGCTGCAAAGCGTGCTTTTGCAAAACACCCCTCGTTGCGGATCGCCGCAGATTCACTCCAACAATCTCTGGCCCTCTTCGAGGGCTTGCCTCACCTGCGCAGTCAATTGACTGTGGCTTAAAGATGGCGGGCTGAGCACAAATGCCCGTTCCTGGGCAGTCTGTCCGGTGGCAGAACCACTCGCAGCCGCACTCATAGCCCTCGGAGGCGTTGGTAGCCGAGATCTTTTTGGAACCGACGGCGGGATGTTCACGCCGTGCCTTCGATAGTCCTCCCTCTGCATTCCCTCCGGAAGCGTAGGTGCCGAGACCCTCGGGAGGTTGAATGCCGTAGCCACCAGTTCTCCAGGTGGCATTGAGGAAGCCGGGCTCGGCGGCGCCGGCTGTCCCGCCTCGGCGGGCTGATTTCCCTCGTCGGCCGCCCCAACATAGCCATCCAATTGGGACAACCTCTGGCCTGTAAGTTCTTCCAATGTGCGCCATATGGCGAGGTCGGATAAATCTTCTTGGCCCTGGGCCCTGTTCAGCGCAGTAAGTTCCCCTTCTCCAAGGAGCAAGGACTCCTCGTCGGAGCTCGAAGAGGTGGTGTCCACTACACCACCCTGAGGGATCGCTGCCGATTTGGCCCTTGCCGCTCGCATGGATTCCCGGGCCTCGTGGAGGCGCTCCTCCTCTCGTTTTCGCCTGTAATATCGGGCAACACGGAGATATATGCCCGAATCTAGGAACGCCCAAGCCGTTTTGAGCTCGAGCGAGGTAACCGACTGGGGCACCTTTACGAGCAGACTCGAACGTCCTCCCACCAGTCCCTTGTATCCAGCAGGCGTAGCCAAATAGGTTTGCAAAACGGCTCGACAATGGAAGATATAGTGGAGCATAGACACAGGGTTGGGTTCCTGAAACCTTCGCTTCCACGCTGCCCGAGCGGCCCGTGGAGCCTCCAGAAGTTCGGTAACCCTGACAGCGAACTCCACATCTACCATATGAAGCCCGTACTCTGCCAGGCTCTTGCCCTCTAGGCAACGTCCCAACCAAACCTCCCATTCCTGCTGCCCAATGATACATTGGGCTTCCGATTCCACCATCTTCGGCCTCGAAGCCCTCACTGGCTCCTCCGGATAGGCCGCTGTCACAGGAATCACCGGAGTGGCTGCCGAGTCGTGGCGTCCGTGTCAAGACTCGTTACCTCCCAGCCAAGGGCCTCGAAGGCACGGCCCACCGACTTGGTGCCGCTGAACAATTCCAACAGACGCATTTTCGTGGGGCGATGACGTTGCCCAACGCCCGTCATCCGGGAGCTTGACGTAGGTCAGGTCGGCCAGGTGCCCCTCGCGGGCTTGCTCCATGTTGTCCTTGGGGCAGAAGATGGGTGCCGGGAACCTGGCGTGGGCCAGGGCGTTCTTGCGGCACCGGACCACGTCTATTCCGTGGCAGATGCGGTCCGGCTTAAGTGTGGCTGTTGAGCTTGAAGACCAGCGGGGGCAGCCGGGGCGATTCCACGTAGGCCTCGTAAGCCCGCCGGCTGAAGCGGGACTCCTGGCGTGCGAGTGCTCCAGGGCCGTTTTGTTCCGGTGGCACTCGAGACACAAGGCCTGCAAGTTCTGGGCCTGCGCGGAGAAGGACTGGTGCACGGGGACGATGTGGTCCAACTCGCACGTCGCCGCGGTGATGGGCGCCGCACAGAGCTTGCACTGGTGGTCCTGCTCCGCGAGCACGGCCTGCCGAGACCCGGGCGGATCGCGGCGGGCCTTGAGAAGGTGAAGGAAAACCTCGCTCGCCGCGCCCGCCAGGCGCTGTCCGCGCGATAGGCCAGCCCCAGCCGGCCCATCCAGGCCTGCAGCACCTCCAGGTCCTCGTGGTAAGTGCAGATGACGCAGTCCTCGCCGCCCCGCACACGGAGGCGCAGGCACCGCCACTCGCTCATGCTCCGCATGACCACCTTGGGGCAGTGCCCCTCGCCCAGGAGCTCCCTCCGAACCTGCTCCAGGTCCTCGGCATAGAAGTGGCCGCTGCCGACCTCGCCGTCCCACTCTTGCGAACTCCGGCGTTTCGCCTGGCTTCCTCTCGCCCCGGTATTTGGCCTGGGCCCGGTCCCCAATCGGCTCGCACTTCGCGACCGTGCGGGCGGATTTGTAGAAGAAGGCGTGGCCGTTCCAGCTCGTGAAGGCCACGGCCCGCTGCTCCTTGACCGCAGGCTCGTACTTGTCCAGCAGGCGGCCCTGGCAGTCCACGTAGAACATCGGGGCAGAGCGCCAGACGCAGAAATATCGGATCTCTGCCTTGCTCCCGCCACTTGCTCCCGATACCGGTGATGGCGTCGAAGTCCGAGAGCACCTCCATCAGCGGCAGCCGCATCAGCTCCGCGAGCTGCCGGGCGACGCAGAGCTTGTCCGGCCGTTGTTCGAAGGCGGACTCGAGGATCTCGTCGCCGCAAAACAGCTGGTAGGAGACGTCCCGCAGCGCCCCGAGGGGCTGATCCAGGACGGTGTCCACCACCACCTGGTCGTCCACGACCTGCATGGCCTGCTGGCTGAAGGTCCACTCCCTCGTCGCGTCCAGGTAGTAGGTCTCGTCGGACAGCTCCAGGATGATGTCGTTCGGCTCGGGGTTCCCGAGCTGCGTGAGCACGGACGCCTTGGGCCTGGGCCGGGAATTGAGGCGTGACTGTTTGGGTTTTGGGCCGGGAGCAAAGGCCGTGACTTGTGACTTTTGGGGGGCCTGGGTCGGGAGAACGGGCCGTGACTTGTGACTTTTGGGGTTTTGGGCCGGGAGTAAACGCCGTGACTTGTGACTTTTGGGGGGCCTGGGTCGGGAGAAAGGGCCGTGACTTGTGACTTTTGGGGTGCCTGGGGCGGGAATTGAGGCGTGACTCTTTGGGTTTTGGGCCGGGAGAAGAGGCCGTGACTTGTGACTTTTGGGGCTCGGGTGGACTCCCCTGAAATTGAGGCACGACTTGCCTGGAATCGAGGCACGACGCCCAAAAGTCACGCTTGCGTTTCCCGAGCCCGACGCCCAACAGTCACGCCCGTGTTTCCCGCGGCCAAAACCCAGAAGTCACAAGTCACGCCCCGCTTTCCCGAGGCCGACGCCCAAAAGTCACGCCCGTGTTCTCCGAGCAGACGCCCCAAAAGTCACAAGTCACACCCGTGTTTCCCGAGACCAAAACCCAGAAGTCACAAGTCACGCCCCGCTTTCCCGAGGCCGACGCCCAAAAGTCACGCCCGTGATCTCCGAGCCGACGTTCTAAAAGTCACAAGTCACACCCGTGTTTCCCGAGACCAAAACCCAGAAGTCACAAGTCACGCCCCGCTTTCCCGAGGCCGACGCCCAAAAGTCACGCCCGTGTTCCCCGAGCCGACGCCCCAAAAGTCACAAGTCACACCCGTGTTTCCCGAGACCAAAACCCAGAAGTCACGCCCTATTTGTGTCGTACCGCCCCCCGAGGCCCAGAAGTCACCGGCCAGACTGCGTCATCTTCCAGGCCCGTTTCGTGGAAACCCAGGAAGGGCAGGTGAAACCCGGAATCCGGGCGCAGAACACCAGGTGAAACCCAGAAACGCATGTGAAACGCAGGAGCGGTGGGGCGCAGGAGGGCATGTGAAACCTAGGACGGGGGGGCAGGAGGCGCAGGAGGCATGTGAAACCCAGGAGGGGGGGGCGAGGAGGGCATGAGTGTGAAACCCAGAACCCAGAAAAAGGGGCGCGGAGGGCATGTGAAACCCAGGAGGCGGGGTGCAGGAGGGCGTGTGAAAGGAGGGCATGTGAAACCCAGGAGGGGGGAGCAGGAGGGCATGTGAAACCGAGGAGGGGGGGCGCAGGGCATGTGAAACCATGACTGCCTGGAATTGAGGCCCAGTCTGGACCTGCCTGGGATTGAGGCGCAGTCTGGACCTGCCTGGAATTGAGGCGCAATTAGAGACGGGGCGGGTGGGGTT